TCGGTCCCCAGCCTGTACTGGTGTCTGGGGTTATTCCTCCCCAGGTGCAGGACCTTGCACTTGGCCTTGTTGAATTGCATGAGGTTTTTCACCGCCCAGTTGTCCAGTCTGTCCAGGTCCCTCTGGATGGCAGCGCAGCCCTCTGGGGTATCGGCTACTCCTCCCAGGTTGGTGTCATCAGCAAACTTGCTGAGGGAGCACTCTGTGCCTTCATCCAGGTCATTGATGAATAAATTGAACAGGACTGGACCAAGGACTGACTCTGTCTCTGAAGAGTGGTCTTCTGAAACATACTCATACTTGGTATAGATGCAGTTTTTCAGTTGACATGGGAAAGTCTGCAACCTTTCCAGTGTGTGCAAATGTTATGTCACCTCCTTTTGTTTCCCTTAGTCCTGGGGCATGAGATTTTAAGGTAAAGCACATCGGCCATTATTGAAACTCATAGATCATTTTGCCATAGGAGCATTTCTCAGTTGCATGGCGCCTTTGCTTTTGACTAGTCCAATCCTAGTTTAGCTATGGTTGACAGAGACGATCAGTGCAAGAGGTACGTTTCTCACGTAGCTTTCTCTAGTGGTGCCTTCTCAACTTAACCACCAGCATCCCACCAGTGTCTCGTGTAGTTTCACCTGAGATTCATGATCTGTCCTCATAAGCACCGCCACCTTCTTCTCACTTAACTGACATCTATCCTCCTTTCGGAAATACACTGTCTATTTTTTAACTAGTCATGACTATATATCTTTCAGACGCTTGGTCCTCAACACTGTAGACCTGCATCTGTTCAATACAGTTGCACTTTTGCTATTTGTCACTTTTTGCTAGGAATGTCACTACTGGGTAGTCACTTTCTTAGGATCCCTGTCATGCAGCTCCGCTATGCCAGGAAATAAGAGTATTTCCTAGCACTGGGAACCATGAAACATGTTGCAGAGAGTCATGGTAGTTCAGTAACTATGTTTTAGTGTAAAGGAGAAAATAATAAAAATAATTATAATTTATCTTTGTGTTAATAGAGATAAAAGCCTTGTATCAATAAATTCACATACAGAATGATAACTCTGGCCACTGCCATCTCAACTATTCAAGAATGATCATTAATACCTCTTGATTTTCCTAATACTAGTTTCCACATTGCCATGCAGTCATCCAACAGGAAATATTTATACTTTATATTGAGTGAGAACTTCTGTTGATACAAGATCTATTGCTGAATCTTTCAGCAGTTTAGGGGTTCTTCATCAAGGAGTATGGTAGCCCTTGTAAAATGTCAGGCGTTTTGTGAAAGAACAGAGGTGAGGGTGAATATCCAGATATTGAGTTAGGTACTTTGATAAAAAGGAATCAGGGAATGTGGAAAGATGATATATGTGCTGTCAAAGTGCAGCCAGGGTGCACAGAGATCGGAACTACAGGGTGCAATGTGTACCATACTTGCCGCTCATCTGATGGGGTTTGACTTTGCTCTGTACCTGGATAACTGATTGTAAAAAAGCAAATAAAATGACAGTTCCATCCATATCTGTTACCATTCTCCAGCTTTTCAAAAGCCCTTCAAAATTAGCATCCAGAGGTTGCATCTCATTCCTAGCTTGTCTATAGAGTTCACCTGCATTGCATCAGTCTCTGTAGCAGCAGTCGTTCCTCTCTAAGAGGGAACTTAGGTAATACAAAACATGATTTAGTGCCTAAACTTCATCTCTCCTCTCCATGGTGAAATCTGGCCTAACACATGTCAGCATGGATGCTTGTGACATTTCTTGCCAGATTACATCTTCAAGTTTAGAAGCTTCACTTCAGACTTCCTTTTCCTGAAATATACAGCTCGCAGCCTTGAGGTAGGAATCACCTGACTCATCAGGTTATCTTTGATTCACCTTTTCAGCTCTCTTCAGAGAGGCCTCCTCACGTTAGGATGGAGTATTTACTTATGTAGTCTGACAAGCTTGCAGTAACCAGCCCTCCAGAAACTTCATGTCAATATTCTGGAATACAGATTAGTATGAAATACACAATGCTTTTTTTGGTCTTACTTTATTTGGCAAATATCAAATGCAGTATGATTTCAGTATTCTAGTTCAACAAGCAAAATGTTGTAGTGTCTCATCATCTGCAAGGAAACAGTAGCTCTCAGAAATTGTACATGAAGTGATGCTGGCATCATCTGTGTTTGGGCTATTTTGAAAACAGTTTTCTTATTCCTAGACTAGGAAAGGGATAGTAAGGATACTTCAGTACTCACATTATAGGAGTTTCGTATGTATCTTTCACTGTTAGTGTTAATTGAGGGTGTTTGTTCTGGTACAGTCATTTCCATGAGGAGAGTAGAAGAGATCTGGGACTGGCTGTTTGACATCTATTCGACAATATTATTTTAGAAGCTCTTCCTGAACATCTTCCTGGAGTGATGATTTAATTTTAATGTAGTTGAAAGGAAAAAAGCCTTTTCTACAGCAAAATATTTCTAGGGATGAGATTACAAGTAAACAGTTAGGAGGATTCTTTTAGAATTAATAAAACTAGATCTTTCTGGTGGTCTTTCTGTCCGTGTGGTTGGCTGATTGATGCAGAAAATCAGCCTTCCTGATACGCATATTACTGAGCAGCAGAGCGGGCCAGAGAACCTGGTACGCAAACTGATGAGGCAGATCTCCATTGCTCATGACAACACAGTGACGTTGATAAAAGATGTCTTCACCTCTAGCATATAACAAATGCATACCTGAAAGTCTGTTTTCTGAAAATGTTACCCAATCCCAGAGTGCACAGTACTAATGCAGTGCTTGGCAGAGCAGTCCTGAAGTCACCGTTTGCTTTAAAAATGCAAAATTCTAGAGAAGTACGAAGTGTTTCTGTGCTGTCACCTGGAAGTAGAGGAAGAGATGTTTTTTAATGCTATTATTTTAAAGAATAATCACATTTTTTTAGATGCATTAACTGCATGTTTCACTTTTTGGAGTCTTCCATGATTCTGTAATTCCTTAGGAGTCTCTTTAAGAAATCTGGTGAAATTCTGAAATTAAAGTGAAATTAAAATAGCATCAAAACATGCACGAAGCATGAAGGAGGGTAGGCCATGGATATACCTGCTTGAAAGTCTTCCAGTTATGGGTGGGAAGGCATATGTATGTACATGCATGAACATACCAATGAGCTCCATGTCTCAGAGAACTGGTTTCCTGGTAAGTAGATTTCTTCTGAAGTCAGTACCTCTTTTGCTGAATAACTAAGAAGATAAGGCAGTCTACAGTCTCTGACCATTATTATAATGTTCAGTAGTACTCCTAGCACTAGTCACCTTCTTCCTTGAGGCATTCAGACAATGAGAGCAGATAAAGTTGTACGGAAGGGATAAGGAAAAGAAATGGAAAATGTTAATGAATATTTTAACAGTAGCTTGACATATAAGTAAAAAATAAAAAGATAATTCTGCTGGAAAGAAAAAATACATTGTATGTCTTCATTATATAAGCAAAATTTGTATGAGCACTTGATTATTTTTTGCTGTCTTGCTGATAATGTTTTGTCATAATTTATACTAATATAAAACATCTTAAGAGCTTGATGTTTCAGCAAAGACTTTTAGGGCATGTGTCAAAGTGAATTTTCCTTCGAAGCAGGATCTCAGGAACCCAAGAGTTGTTACCAGGAACTTCTCTCATTAGAATTCTCTCTTTTCTATGACTTGCTAATTTCTTTTACATCTCATTAATATAATAATCTAAGAAGCTTATGTGAAGCTATGAAATTGCATCAGTATATGATGAAGTACTAAATATTAATAGAAAGTGGTAGCAGTGTAAATGCTTCATATCAGGGATAGACACAAATACAATATATACTTTCCATTAAAATGTAAAGAGTTGCAGATCAGAATGGTGTGAACTGAATATGTAAAGTTTATTCCTTCTTCCTGTATAAATTTCTGCCTTTCTGTAAGTGACAAGTGCAAATTCGATTCTAAAAAGGAGAGGTGTATCCTGTTAGGACAAAAACTGTATTCTAATTGGAAGAGAAGGAAGTACTTCAATTGAAGTATGATTAATAACTGTTTGCTCATGCTTAGCTTTGATTGGAACATGACTATAAAAACTTCCCTTTCCAAAAGGGTTTAAATCCTACTGTGAATGAAATCATTAGGTACTGTCCAACACAGAATAAATATTATTGGAAATGGCATTGGTTTCAAAAGATCACAGACTAGAATTTTAAATTCTCAATTCACTTTGTAACCTTGCAAATAAGAACAATAAATAATTTATCACTAGTCAACTCCACCTGTTCCATGAAGTGAAAGTACTGGAGAGATCTCCCCTGTTCTATTCGTGTCACCATTTCTACTTCTATCACCTATTTGAAAAATCGACCTTGGCAAGCTCCCAATTTTACATAAGGCTGCTGGAACACAATCTCCAACACAACCCTCTGTACTCGAGAGTATTCAAACTTCTTAGTGTTACAAATTCGGTATGGCTGTGCTGTAGCCTTAGTATTGTGTTTGCAATCGTGATTCTGGGATTTTTGTGAATAATATTAAGTGTTCCCTCTTCAGAACAACTCTGTGCTCAATAGCATATCAGAAAAACAGAGGCACCTTCTTTGCAATGCTGGGAAGGAAAGATGTGGGTGATGACATATGTGTTTTCTCCAGAGTATGTTTGTGACATGTACCACTGAATGAAGCATTATAAATACGTTTTTTTTTTTTTTTGTCTTACAAATCTATTTAATGCCATGAAAGACAGAAATGTGGTATTACCAAATGCTCTTGAACATCATTGGATCTATGACAATTTGCATAATTGTACTAACAGTTGCCTAAAATAGCATGAGTTGAGAACTGAGCAATAGGCAGCCAGTGAAGGTTCATTTTGACAGCAGGGGCAGGGAACATTCTTCTCTAATGACTTAGTAAGTAATGTGTTTTTCCAATAACACTAGTAGTAGGAGAAGTTAGTGGAAAGATTGGGCTCTCTGTCCACCACTTCCTTAAGATCTACTTTCTTATTGATGAGTTGTTGATTGTGTACTTTAATTTTTTAGACCATTCTAAAAATAATACTCTTAATAAGAGGGCTCAGTTTTGGAGTTACATGAGGATCTGTATCTCATTATATTTACATTTTTATATAGATTCATTATATACAGCATTTTACACACATCTAGTTTATTCTATTTCTTCAGAGTGCCAACTTGAATGTTTAAAAATTTAAAAATCTTTTAAATCTTTAAATCTTTTAAATATTCTCTTAAAAATGCATTTGAAAGGTGGATTCTTAACTGGATGCTCTGGAGAAATGGAATGTGTGAGAGTCATGTTTTAACTTACAATGTGGCTAATGTGAATTCTAATAATTTCTGATAAACAGTTTACATGATCATTTTATGGAATATATGTATTAACAATATCTATCTCCTGAATGTATTTGATTATTTTCTGTACACTCCAAAATCCCAGATTCCATTTTAAAAAGCTTTTCTTTCCCATGGTTGGAATAAAACCCAAAATCAAGCAAGTGCAGCAGAAGCAATAATGTCAGCTTTTTCAGCTCCTGTTCCCTAGATGTACTGCCATGGCAATTCAGCGTTGTGGCCCCACCATCGTTTGGCAGTCATATAGCCTGTATATGTACTCTGCTCAAATAACATGTAGAAAACTACTGAGTGCCTGAAACGGGGATGAGACACAGTGGTCAGAAATTGAAGCAGGGGAGCTTCTAAATACAACAGAATGTTCACTTTGAGGATAATGAAGCATTAGAACAAGTTGTCCAGAAAGGTTGTGAAGTCTTCGTTCTTGAAGCTTTTCAAGGCTTGACTTGACAAGTCCCCAGTCAACCCATTTGAATTAAGTATTGACCCCAGTCTGAGCATCTCAGGTGACATCCAGAGGTGGTTCTCAACTTGAAGGATCCTTTGATTCCGTGAAGTACTAGCAAACTTTTTTTTTAATATTATAGGGAAATGAAAGGTTTAAAAACTACATTATTTAAGAATAGTTTTTTTGAGTTACATGAAATTAGTTTGTCATTCTTCCAGTGTATAGGATAAGTCCATGAATAAAAAAGTGTACCATTATATAAAAGTGTAATTATGGAAACCCTTATGAATTCTCAAAATGTGAAAAGAACGTAATAGGAATGAGGTGAAGCTAATATCCCTGCAGGGATAAATTTATTTATTTATTTATTTATTTTTATCCTGCATTTCTGTAACATGCTGCCAGCTGCTGTGAACTGGCTTCTATATTATATATTCAGGAGATTTTAACTCTTGTTTTCCTTAATTTTATTACAATACTGGGTTGAAGTAGCTCTAGCTGTTGTACCAGTTAGTGGATTTAGATTAAAAAATAAAAAAATATTGCAGAGTCACTGGGTCAGGTTGTGGTTTTTTGTTTGTTTATTTTTTCCCTCAGTGAGCACAGGGTGTTTAGAGTTTTATTTAGAGTCAAGTAGAAAAATATATCTAAGTCATAAGCACCCCTTAAGAGCAAATCTGACACATCCCTATCTACTTCTGCAGGTAACTTCTCATAGTCGTTTCTCTTCTTGTTGTGCATAGGAATGCTTTCAGTTTATACTGCCAGCCCTACCTCACGCCATTGATCTTTTGCGGGATGCCATTGTAAAAGTAAAGGAGGTGCATGATGAACTTGAAGATCTACCTTCACCACCACCTCCTCTCTCTCCTCCTCCAACCACCAGCCCTCACAAGCAGACGGAGGACAAAGGAGTACAGTGTGAGGAAGAGGAGGAAGAGAAGAAGGATAGTGGAGTTGCGTCAACAGAGGACAGCTCCTCTTCACATATAACTGCAGCAGCCATTGCAGCTAAGGTGAGTCTGCCTTGTTTCGATAAAAGGCACTTTGGTTTCAATCTCAGGTGCTTTCCACTGGTATTTGTTTGCATATTAAAATTATATATTGATGTTGCTGTGCTAGAACTGATGTATTTTAAGTACGTTTTCTAGAAATGCAGCTTCATGAAAGTCTGTGAGTCTTGTTTTTTCAGCAGTCACAAATTTTGTGGAACATCATGTTTATTATCTTGACGATAATATCCATCTTTATTATGCAATGCAATGTGACAGATTATTTTTAGTTTTTTTTTTTATAGTTCAAAGTACCTATATGCCTGAACGAGCAAAGTGTGGCATATTAAAGAATCACAGCAGAATTTCCTAAACCGAAGTATCCATTTTGAAAAGACAACATTGGTTTCTAAAAACAATGATAAAAAAAATATAGCAAAGAGTTAGCAGATTAAGTAAAAACTACCCAGACTACTATATTCCAATTTACATGTATGTGGAAGAGATGTGAAATTCTACCACAGAGCTAAGTGTCATTCCATTGCCTTAAAGTATATTGCTTTAACCGGCAGTTATAGGTCAATGTTACTGAAACCAAAATAACACATTTTAAACTATAAAATGGAAAAAAAAAAAAAGACAAAACTTCAATTGACAATTACTTCAGTTAAAATGTTAATCATTTTTTCCAAAGAAATACTTTATTATTTGAAGCATTATATAATTTTTTACTTCTGTTTTATGCCTTTGGTTTGCAACTAGAAAGAAAATATAGTTCTATGTATTTGGAAAGGTTTTTCTTCCAAAATAATTTATTCTATATTTATTCTACAAGCTGTACTTTTAATTCCTACTATGGGAATTGAAAATCTAAATAACTCAGAATGGTAATAAACAACTTCTATATCAAAGCAGCAATAGTCTAACCCCAAAAATATGAAATCAAGTCTAACATTTTTGGGCATTTTCAAGACAGCTGCAACTGGAGATCATCTCCTCCTATGTAGAAAAACATAATTATGTATATCTTAAAGGAATGAATTAAGCTAATTATCACTAAACTTCAGTTTTTGTTGATGCAAATTTAAATTTATTTCTTTTAGTAGGGGCAAAGATGCATAGTCTGTGTGATTTTTTTTTTTTTTTTTTTTTTGAAGGCAGAAGCTACCTGGGATCTAAACTGGCTATGTTCATATGAGTTTGACATTTCAGTATCCCATTTGTTTTCACCTTGTTCCCTTTCGGTCATTTGCTTGTATAGTTTCGTGTTTTCCTGTCACTGTATTCATAGCTGTTATGTGTTGTGCATTAGAAGCATCCATCCTACACCAGTTCAGCTGTTATCATGGCAAAAGGTGAACAGCCCATTCCTGGTCTCATCAGTTATTGCCATCACGCAGCAGGCAGTGCAGAAGAACCGGTAAGATGCACCTGCAAGAGGCTTTTGCACTAACAGTATCTGAAGATATGCCTGCCTCCTATTCTAGTGTGTGAACAGACGGTGTTAGTTATTCTCTCCTAACAAATTGACAGCAGGGCTGTCTTTTAGAAAACCTACTACAGAAAATATTCGGTTTAAAATATAAAGCTAAACAGAGCAAAATTGGTAGTGCCAGTTTGCGTCATTTGGCTGCTGACATAATCAGTGCTTTAAAGCTTGTGCTTCTGAAAGGTTATCAGCTTTATCATCTAATATATCCATTTATTGAATATAATTAAAATAATATCCTAACACCATAACGTTAGAGCTGTGAAATTTTGGTAACTTCTTCCCTGCATTTGCCTTGCTTTGCCTTTTTTTTTTCCCCTCCCCCGATGGCTTCTATGTCAACATAATACACCGTTTCTACTGACACTCCATAATTCACTTTCATCACTTTTTAAAATTTCTCCTTTATTCTTCTATTCTGATTTAAAGTATTTTTTCTCAAAAACAGAAGAGAAGACTTGAGGAATCTGGATATAGTGGACTTTTATTGCAAGTTATTAAATTTCAGTGAAGAGTAGGGAACTATTTCAATGAGTAGCAGGAAAGAAATAGTAACTTCAGCTTTAGGTTGGTCCATACTCTGATATTGTAACCTGGAAGCTTTAACTCAGACTTCAACAAAATATTATACTTTCTTTTCCATCTCTCAAATGTTTAATCCAGATATTAATTAAGACAGAATAATGTTCATAGTGACGTTAAGAATAAAACATAGTTTGTTGTATACGTAACTGTAGGTTAGAGAAACCTAAGGAAAGCAGTTGATCTAGAGACACATACCCTATATGACTTGTTCAATGTCAACCAACAAACTGAAAGTAAATTGAGACAATGTCTCTAGTTATTGTTGACTAGAGGTTGCACTTCTTTTGCTCCTTAGGGTGATAAAAATTTAAGCCAGCAATCAGCTGGCATAGGGCAAGATAAATACTTCAGATGCAGTTGAATGGAAACTAGAATTGTCTCAGTCTTTTTATTTATTGTTCTGAAAGACAAAAAAAAATCTAGCCGTTTGCCTGTAGGGAATGAGGGCACTAGGTAATATCTGGATAACCAGAGTGGTCTTGCTATCATTTGCAAAAGGGATATTCTGCTTCCGTTGTGGGATCTTATATGAAAGAGGTAATGGACATACACAATTACATCAGGATGCATGCAACCTTTTATCCAAGGAGCAAGAAAAAGGCATCTTATTTTGAATATTTAAAAGCATTTCTCCTTTTATTGTATTCTTTTAGTTTTTTGCCATTATCAAAATCTAGTTTTTTTACAACAATGCCCTTAATCGTGGGTATTGAAGGGAAGTATTAAAAGTTGTAGTTGTATTAAAGTTATTCCAGCATGAAACCTAAGATCGTCACCCTTTCTATGTGTTTAACATATTTAAGGTGGAATCTCAAGAGAAAATAAGAACAGAGGTAAATGGTGCTTTTGATTACAGACTGTATAGTGTTTGCCTAATCAGACTATCCTTGTCTCTTTTCCTTCTATGTATACCACTTCCCTGGGATGCCATTTGCAGCAAACCAGAATATTTAAACTAGAGACTGCTTGAGCACTGTTTCTGGAGAAGATATCCCCAGCATTATATTACATAGTAATAAGAGCCTCTACTCGTTTCATAATTTATAGTGGAGATTGCAGTGCAGGTTACTTAGGTGAAGATTGTCTGAGGAATAGGGTTTTTTAAAACTTTAGTAGAAAAAAAACTGGCGCAAAAACACTGTCAATTTAGAAACACAGCAGTAAAGCAGAAGGCACTCGTTCTAAAGCAGATTTTCCTCAAGATTACCCATAGATTCACACATGGAAATTTTAAGTGAAAATATTTCATTTTCCTAAGTCACAAATGTAAGGATCAAAAACAAAGGATCATGAGAAGAAGTATTAGCAGTTTGAGGAGCGAACATCGCAAATACTCATACACATCCTTTCAGACTTACACAGCTCATATTAATATGAGTAAGGGTAACTCTTTGCAAGAATACCTACTTGTAACAGTTAATATCTCCTAACAGATTGGAGTGTTATCTGTATTTCATGTAATCCTACATTCAATATGTTTTGGCTTTCTCACTGCAAAAGAAACCTGTGTTTAACTTTTGGGTACTAATGCCCATTTGCTGATGCATTTACTGTTTTTAACTTTTATAACAGTTAGTAACACACTGGGAACAAAATCTCTTTCCACACTACTACATTATAAACATGAGAAAGTTTTACCATGCATGGAGAGAAGAGGTTAAGATAGATTATGATCTACCAGGTACAGTCTAGTGTCAAGTAAAGCCTCTGTTATTCCTTTGGTTTCCTAACAGGAAGTCTTTCCCTGGCAAGCATGCCCTTAGGCGTCAGACATCAATTTTTGCACAGTCTTTGTTATTTTTTATTTATGTTTCTTGTCTTTTGAGCAGCGACTGTGGCCTTCTGAACCCTAGCAGAGTCAATGAGGGCTTTCAGAGCATGCTGCCAAAGGCCTGCGGCACTGGTGGCAGCTTTCCATTGCTCAGCACTTTCCCAGGGAGCAGGAGAGGGAGGTTAATAAAGTGAAAAGTCCTCTACCCTGGAAGGTTTAAAGCTGTGGTTAGTGGGCTGTTCCCGCTTCATGGGGCCATTATCAGCATCTGACTTTTAATGAAAAAATAGTGAAGTGTTACTACTGTTTGTTAAAGCTCATAAGTTTTGTTGACTATCAGAAGAAACCCTGAATGCTAACAGTGGCCTCTTAATTCATGAAGTATAGGGTAGTTGCTGAATTCAGCAGTACTACACAAAACTATTTTCAGTTAATTCTTCTAAACAGCAGAGTTATGAACAGAAGTGTTGGACACTAAAGGTGTTGCTATGAGAATGCAAGGAAGCAAGCAGCAGTAATTCTCTCTGCTCTATGCATACAGTTAAAAAACAGAAGGGGGAGGGAGTCAAGATATAGGATTCATTCATCCTTATAGAGTTAAGGAAACTGATAATAGTAAAGTTTTGCGTGCGTGTGTAAAATTCTGTTCTGGAAAAATAACATCAAGTCAAGAAAAGCTTTATGGTAGTCAGTAAATAGAGGAAGGGATGGTTTTGCAAAAGTTTAGATGACCCCGACAATATGGCATTTAAAGTTACATGTTAGGATATATACATGCTAGCGAAGTGTTGTTACTGAGCATCTGCAGGTATCTGATAAACACAAGTGTACTGTTACAGAATAGCTAATGTTGGCAACCTGCTGTTCTGTTGAAGACAGTCTTAATTTGATTGCTTAGTAATTATGAAGTAAAGCTAGTTAACAGTTTTATCCAACCTTACTCCTTTGAAATAAAATCCCTGTGCCACATACACTGTGGACCCTTGGTATGAGCTGTTACCATCTCTAGATCCACTCCTGTTACTCCCCAATACTTGCTACACTAGATGTAATCATTATTTATAGATGGGAACCAAGGAAGCAAAAAAAAAATCACATGAAAAGTAGTCTTTAATGATTTGATGCCTTAGAGTGAAACATTCTAACTGTACAATTAAACTGTACAGCTAATTATAAGAGAGGCCACAAAGCTGCCTTAATGTCCTGCTGTGGCCTTTAACGGGACAAATCAAGACTTAATATAGAGCATAAGATTCCCCACAAAAAAAAAAGGATGGCAGCATGAGTATTACATTGCTAAACAAGTAAAACAAATTAATTTTGCCTTAGTGTAATATCAATGACAATTTGCCTCCATTAACTGTTGCCAAGATTGTTCATTTCCTGTAGTAGATGTCAGAGATGATGGAACTTCTTCTGTGCTTGGAACTAGTTTGACATAATGTTTAGTAAGCAAAATCAGCAGAGCATTAAGAACATGCCATTTCATTCCTGGGATCAGCTGTCCTTTTCATTTTCCCCCCTCTTTGAGTACAATTCCTGCTTTGTCTTCACACTTCAATTTGGGATGACCTTTGTCACAGGAACTCTTGGAAAGAAGTATTTTCCAGTGCCTTCAGTTTGCCCTAAGGCCTTATTGGGAAGACTGCACAAATATGACCAAATACAAGAATGCAAGCCAGGTGCAGCATCTTGATTAAAAAATAACAAAACAAAACAAAAAAACACAGAACATCCTTACTAGAAAACAACCGAAGATGGTAGTTCACTTTCTTATGGGGGCTTCATTTCTTACTGCTTCTTAGTACCCATAACTGTTATGTCCCCCAGATATATTTATATGTTTTAGGTTTTTCTTTTGGAACTTTAACAGCAAGCTGAGCTAAGAATTTTTTACTGAGGTGAGAGATCTTAATATATGCGTATATATTCCTTTGAAGGTCTGAATTTGGACTTGTTTATTTTACTTTTTCTTTCTAATCTGTTGTGATAGAAGAGTAAATTGCAGGAAGAGTAGTCTGATACAGCAGCAATGCTCCCTCTGAAAAAAGAACAGGTTAAAATAAAATAAGGATAAGCCTGTGTAGGGTGTAAATTATAGCAGATTACTGGCTGCATTTTGGATTTCGTAACTAGTGTTAGAGATCAATTCTCCCACTTGAGGTATTTATCATTTTATAAAAAATATTAATACTTTAAACTGTCAATTCATTATAAAGGCAGTTTCGTATCTGCATGATACCAAATACTGCCCAATACTGCACTAATATGAAACAGCCAACTTACTAAGACTCAATATCTTAAAGCCAGGAAAAACTTAAATGCATTGTTTAACCTCTTTTCTTTGGGACTAGAGATAAAACAGAACCGAAGAGACAGAAGATAAAAAATGATAGCTCTATTTTTATTACTGAAAGTAATATATTATTGTAAATTGCTAAATTGTAAATAAATATACAGTATAAATAAATATACAGTGCCTTGAATACTCATAAAGATCTGTGACTGAAATTTCCATTTTAGAAATAGCTAGCCTTCAAATATATTATGGAAAAAAAATCAGATTTTTTTTTGTTGTTTTTAATAATATTAAACACAGGTGATGGCTTTGGATGATATTATTATTATTATTTTTTGCCTGGACTGCCTTCAGAGAGGCCTACAGCTTTTACTAACACCAACTTTACCTAACGGAAGTTTTGTAGTAGAAATAAATTCTTTGATATAAGGAAAGAAGACTATTTTCTTAGTACATGATGTTTCTTCAGAGACTCTCAGAGGGGCCTAGTCAGTAGTTGGTTTTCTGTCTTCTGACTAAGAGTGGGAAGTCTGTTGCCCTCTAGGCCATAGCACAGGAGTCACTTGTGTGGGTCATAGCTCATTTTGAAGCAGACCTAATAGGAAAAACATTAATTTCTTATTCTTAATTTCCTAAACTTTAAGACTTTCCCATTTTCTGAGCTTCAGTTATATATTGCAATATAACTGATTCATATGGTGTTACTACTGCCAGCACAGAGTGTGAGGAAGAGTGCAGACTGAAGATCAGGATATTCTAAACAGCTTTAGATGTAAGCTTTTGACTAAGTTTTAAATACAGTATATTTTCGACTAATAATTCTCTCTCCCTTCATTTTAAGATTCCAGATTCCATTATCTCTCGTGGTGTTCAGGTGCTCCCACGTGATACAGCCTCCCTCAGCACTACCCCTTCAGAATCGCCTCGTGCCCAGGCCACTTCGCGTCTCTCCACTGCATCCTGCCCAACACCAAAAGTAAGTACATTTATGCCTTGCAAGCTCCATGCTCAGACATAAAATTTAAGATTAATGTTTCCCTCTGCTGATGAAGGTTGTTTCGCATGCAAGGGATGTATTTTTCAAATAATAGATAAATGTAAGATAGTATATTTCCTTCCATATGTACTGTTGCACAATTTAGGATGTGGGTCTATGAACATGTTATGATTACTGAAGTTCCATGTTCTCTCTTGCATTATCAGTCATGAATTTCAGCATGAAATTGCTAATCCCCTGAATGTCTTTAATATCTCAGGGAATATAGATAATCCTGCCACTGAGTAACAGCATTCAGCAAGTAGTATTTTGTGAACAAAATATATGCGCAAATTTCTAGCCTGGGCTGGGGCAGTTCTGCCCCACTCTAGTACTAATGTATTTAAGACAGTTTCAAGTGAAATCATTTTGCACAAATGTAGATATTTGCTGCCTGACATTTGGAAACAACTCTAAATTGAGTAGAAAGAAAGTTTTAATGCCAACCTTGTGGGATTATTTTTCAGTTCTTACTGATTATGCTATGTGATTTAATCATTTAGATAAACTCTATGAGTGTGCTTTGTCAAACTTTAAATACATCAAAAACTAAGTGAATCAAACAGTGGCAAAACCAGTTATTTTCTTTCAGCCTTTCAACAGAAGAACTCTCTGTCTGAATTCACTTTACGGGTTCATATCACAAAGATCTTTCCGTGGCACTAGATACTGACATATTAATAGATTTGTAGCAGATGGCAAACAATAATGTTCTTCCTCATCTATTTCATGATCCTTGAGGATTATTCTGCTTACTAAAGTGATTGTCAACATCTGCTGGTTCTTCTTACTTGCTACCTCATTCTTTTCTATCAGCAAGCAAGGTTTACTGGCAACCACCCATGGAAATGTTTTTATTTAGATGATGGAAACTTTTTATGCAATACTCACCTTCGTTACAACAAAATCAAAATTCTTACAGTGGGCAACATAAGTAAGCTTCATTTCATATATATATATTATATATATATATATATTTGCTCTACTGA